GCCTGTTTGCGCACGTCACACTGGTAGTCGTGTTCCTCGTGAGGGTCCGCCTCCTGACCCTGGCACGCACGCTATGGCACGTCGTCCTTCCTCTGTTCTACAGCGTGCTCCTCCTACGTCTTCTTTGCCTGACGTTCAGGACCCTGAGTTTGACCTGGTTTGTGCTGCTCACCCTACTGTCATGCGTCTGTTAGCCACTGTTGTCACCGGCCCGTCGTTTGAGTCTGCTGCTGCGTCTGTCTTAGTCTCTGAGCTTGTTGACTTTGCTGTCGCCTGTCGTCTCGACTTCGTTGCTAGTCTTGTTGCTGAGTCTGAGTCTGTCTGTCCTCTGGCTGTCAGGGGTGAGTGTGCTCTTGGCACGGACGTCCTTGAGGACAGGCAGGAGGACTTTGAGTGTCTTGCAGCCGCTTCTCTAGACATCCCGACCCCGCGCTCTTATGCTGAGGTGATCGCCGGTGAGTACTCCTCTCAGTGGCAGACAGCCATGGACGCAGAGATGGCATCCTGGAAATCCATAGGCACTTACGTCGACGCAGTTCCCCCTCTTGGGGCGAACGTAGTCGATGGCATGTGGATTTTCAGGGTGAAGCGGCCGCCGGGTTCTCCGCCTGTCTTCAAGGCTCGTTACGTTGCGCGAGGCTTTAGTCAGCGACAGGAGTTGACTTCTTCCAGAACCTTCTCCCCCACCCCAAAGATGACCACTCTTCGGGCTCTGCTGCACGTTGCCGCTCAGCTTGACTACAAGCTTAACTCCCTGGACTTCAGCACAGCGTTCTTACAGGGCAGTCTGTACGAGGAGATCTGGCTGCGCCGCCCACCTGGCTTCACTGGGTCGTTCCCTCCTGGTACCCAGTGGAGCCTCCGCCGGCTAGTCTACGGTCTCCGTCAGGCGCCTCGTGAGTGGGACGACACACTGAGGACGACACTTGCGGCTCTTGGGTTTGCACCTTGCATTGCTGACCCGTCGTCGTTTCTGCGCACCGACACTTCGTTGCCGCCGTTCTACATCCTCGTGTACCTCGACGACTTGGTCTTTGCCACTGCTGACACTGAGACTCTCGCCCTTGTGAAGTTGGAGCTGCAGAAGAGACACGCGTGCACAGACCTGGGTGAGCTGCGTAGCTTCCTTGGCATGCAGATTACCTGGGACAGAGCACGGTGCACCATCACACTGACTCAGTCACACATGGTGCAGCAGGTCCTTCAGCGCTTCGGCTTTACTTGGTCCTCGCCACAGTCCACTCCTCCGGCTACAGGTCACTCGCTCTCAGCTCCACCTTTGGACGAGTCCGTAGAGCCGAGTGGCCCGTACCCAGAGCTAGTGGGCTGCCTAATGTACCTGATGACCTGCACTTGTCCTGACCTCACGTACCCTCTTGGCCATCTGGCACGCTACGTGGCTCCTGGTAGGCACCGAAAGGTGCACTAGGATGCTGCGAAGAGGGTAATGCGTTACTTGTGTAGTAAATCGGGCATGGGGCTCGTGCTTGGAGGGCGGAGCTCAGTTGTCCTCACTGGACACTCAGACGCTTCTTGGGTTGACGACCTAGCTACGCAGCGATCGTCACGGGGTGACTCGTTCAGCCTTGGCCCTGGCTCTGTTTCGTGGCGGTCTACGCAGTCGTCTTCTGTTCTCAGCTCCAGTTGTGAGGCTAAGATCTACGCCACAGCCATGGCTGCACAGGAGCTACGCTGGCTCACCTACCTGCTGACCGACTTGGGAGAGAGGCCTTATTCTCCTCCAGTTCTGTACGTCGACAACATGGCTGCCATTTCCTTGTGTCTGGACCACAGACTGGAGCACAGAACGAAGCACATCGCTCTGCGTTACTTCCTTGCTCGAGAGTTGCAGCAGCGTGGTCAGCTTTGTGTCACTCGCGTGCCGACCCGGGCCAACACGGCTGATGTGTTCACCAAGGCCCTTCCGGCTGGTGATCATCAACGCTTCTGCACTGCTCTAGGCCTGGTGCCTACGTTTCCTCACTTGCTGTAGACTCTGGTTGTACTGTGACCTATATATATGTATATATATGTATACTTGCATGTTTAATCTTGCTAGGTAGTGATCACTCTACTGTTTTTTGTTGCATATATATCTCTGCATGTGAGTTGGCCTTGTGGCCCCTTTGTTTGTGCGTGTGTGGTGACGTTGTGATCCACCCTGAGCTTGCTTTTCTTTTTCCTGACTGGTCTTGTGACCCTTTATCCCCCCACTTTGCCTATGGGGGTGTGTCAAACCATATCTGTGCTAGTTCTGTGTAGGTTATAGTGGGGTAGCCCATGTGGGGTACAACCCGATATTAGGGTTAGTACTTGTACCCACAATTCATTCAATGCAATCATTTCCTGCTTGTTAATTCTTAACAAACCCAGCATGGCTAATTGCCTTTGGGACCTTGTCATCACTTCCCAACCCAGCATGGCTGCCTTTGGGACTTTTCTTATCCCCCCCAATGCTGACATCTTCCCTTCCCTCCCCTTGGAAATGAGGAGAAGCAACCTTCGGAGGGGAAAGGCAATAAAGGGGGCAAGGAGGTGGGGGTGTGGGGGAGAGTGTCAGTAGATCTGCACTGTGGATGCCCGATTGATCCTGGAGAGGGTTACAGGCGCGTTCGCCTGGGGGGTTATGGGTGCACTGACCTGCTACTAAAACAAGCCCTTTTATCCCAGTGGTCTAGTGACTGGGATTCTGACATGGTATCAGAGCGGTCTCGGGTTCGATTCCTGGTGTATGCACATGTAGGCCGTTGCCGCTGTGCTTAGTCCTGGGCCTCCCAGTGTAGGGGGGTGTCAGTAGATCTGCACTGTGGATGCCCGATTGATCCTGGAGAGGATTACAGGCGCGTTCGCCTGGGAGTTATGGGTGCACTGACCCGCTGCTGAAACAAGCCCTTTTATCCTAGTGGTCTAGTGACTGGGATTCTGACAGAGAGTTTTGTTTGATTATGCTCACACCATAAAGGGATGAGAAGGGAACAACAGGGAATGGAAGCGCAGAGAAGCTAAGGAGAGGGATGGACAGGTGAGAGAAAGGCATGGGGAGTCGGCAAGATGACTAGGAGATTAAAGGCGCAACGAGGCCCAGAACAACGAGGGGAGTGGAGGTGCGCCGAGGGGAGTGGAGTGGAGGCGAGAAGAGGAGAGGGGCTGTGAGACGAGATGATGCTCGACGAGGGGAGGGGAAGTGCGACAACGGGTGGCGCGATGAGGGTGTTGGCATGCCGACAGGAGGCCAGGAGCTAAGCGACAAAAGGAGGGGTGGCACCCTGAGGGGTGGTAAGACGATGGGAGAGGAGGCGCGACAAGGGGAGGCGTGTTGAGGGAAGGGGAAGCTTGATGAGAAGACGTGAGGCGCGAGAGATTGAGACAGTCATACTGTATGTGTATGGGCAGGCGTGGTAAGGTGGCTTCAGTCACCTTTGCGACCACATTGACTAGCTTGAGCATATGCATGTAAATTTATCTAAACTCTTTGTATGGAGTAGTTTAATAACTAGCTACCTTCTCGCCTTTTGAACTATCAAGTATATCATTGTTCTGATTATTGTCTTAACTTAATACTGGGTTGGGTTTCCACATTTAGTGAGACGCCCCATAGCCCAGGTGATATTTACTCGTCCAGGTGAGTTGTCATGTGAGGTATGCGAGAAAGAATGAGGAATGGATGCACTAGGAAACAGGTGGGTACAAGTAGGAAAACCTAAAAGTGTTGTACCCCATATTGTCTACCCCACTACAGCCTACACAGACTATAGCATATAAGTTTGATACACCCCCATAGGCAAAGTGGGGGAGAACAAGAGGTCACAAGACCATGTCAGAATCCCAACCACTAGACCATTGGGATAAAAGGGCTTGTTTAGTAGCGGGTCAGTGCGCCCATAACCCCCCAAGCCAACATGCCTCTAACCCTTCCCTAGGATCAATCGGGGATCACCAGTGGACCTCTGACACCCCCCCGCACTGGGATGCCCGAAGTGCACACACTGGGATTCGAACCCGAGACCTTCGCTCTGATACCATGTCAAAGAATGAGGAATGGATGCACTAGGAAACAGGTGGGTACAAGTAGGAAAACCTAAAAGTGTTGTACCCCATATTGTCTACCCCACTACAACCTACACAGACTATAGCATATAAGTTTGACAGTATGAGGATTTCGCCAACTTCTGTTTGAGTTCGCACATGCGAATTGGTTTCACACAAACTCAAAATTCCCAACACGTACACACAACCTTTGAACCTCCTCATCGGTAATTTTTTGCCTGGAGCACGAACATTGCCCTAGCGAAGAACGGGCAGGCCCCACCTTCACCTGACGCAATTCCGGTTCCGCCCCTCCCAAGTCTGCTGCGGCCAGTTCGTGCCACAATGAATTCAATGTCGCACGAACATCTGAATAGCGCGCCACTAGCACAACACCACCCTGCCAGCACCCCCACCTTCGTCCCCCTAGACCCAGATTCCGCCTTCTCCTTCCACCCACCAGCTCCAATATACACCTATTTCTAAGTGTCTTCACTCCACCAGCGTTGCCAGCGTGGCCGCTTTCGCTTGCCCTACAAGCTGCCCACCTTGCGCACGCGCTTCGTGTCGCGAAGACGCCCCGGCGAGCAACAGACGATATAAAATAACTTCATTTCCAAGGATCGATATATACTTTGCCATCGTTCCTTCGCCATCCGAGTCCTTTCACAACTACAATCGTCACCACGCGATTCATACCCGCTGCATACATTACATAGTTGACCCCATGGCTCCTCTAGTCTCCGCAAAAGGTGTGGATCGCTCAATACTCTCTCTACCAATCTTTCGTATCGACTCAAAAGTCCTCTCATTCTCAATGTTCGTGCATCTCAATCTCGTCAGTCGTTGCTGTCGTCATTAAAGCTCTCGCTCGAATCCATTCTGAATTCTTCGTTTCTCGCGCTGTCATCAGCAATGCCCTCGCTCCATCACTAGCGCTTCTGAATCTGAGTTGCTCTGATCTGTTACTGGACATGCTCTTACTCCCACTCCTTCTGCGGTTCGCATTGCGGCCTTCACCGACCGCACTCATCGCTGTGCGCCCCTCCGCGCCCCTATCCCCTTACAGGAGCGCTCGTCCTCGGGCTGCTCTTCGCGTCCGCGCTTCTCACTCTCGCCGCCCGACCGAAATGTGAGTGCGCTGCTCAACAACCTTCCCCGTCGTTGCGCCCTCGTCCCACTCTGTTTCCGCCGTCGTCGCGCTCTCCTCTCGCCCTCGACCAGCAATCCTCTCGCGCTGGCATAGCCTGCACTCGCCACCTGCCGCCCGTTGTACTGATCGATGCGTTTGTTCCCACCTCGTCGCATGTTGTCACCCGTTGTCGCAGGCGTGCTGTACTCGAATTGGGACGTGACGGATAAACTGCAGACGCAGGCGAAGAAGAGCGAGTGGCAAGTCTACCAAGTCGCTGCCCACTGGCAGACTCACCATCAAGGAATACAAGTACGGCTTTCTGCTACGCCATTTCGCCACGCTTTTCCGCTGTGTCATTTGGCTGTGCCACTCTGCTGCGCCGTTCCGCTGTGCCATTTCACCATCTGTCATTACCCGCTCGTTTCTCCCCCTCGAACTCACACATCTGTCCGCGCGTTTCTCGATCGCAGGGGCAGCGACCGACGAGTCGTTCGACCTGCAGGTGACTGCCGAGGTTACGGAGCTCCCAGAGCCGCCGGTGGGGATTGTGATCGGAAAGGGCAAGTTCGGCAGCAACACGGGCGTCTCGTGGTACATCAACAAGCCGTGGAGCGGCGGCGGCGGCTCGTACAAGCTGGACTTCAAGTTGACGGCCATTGAGAAGATCAAGCCACGTGGCGGCAGCGGCACGATTTTGGAGGTGCTCCAGGCTGTGGATAAGGGTGTCGTGTCGGATTACTACACCGCTGTTCTCACCAAGTCGGCCAGGAAATCCGGTGGCCTCGTTGGTGGCGGGTTCGTCAAGGGCTTCCCCAATATTCTGCCCATGTTCAGCTGCTAAATCCAGCAGTTGGGCCTGCTGTTGCTGTGGGGCCCTTCAATACAGCCATGCAGGCCGTAAATTCTCGGCAATAAAAGATGGGAGAACCCCATCTCATAATTGGCTTAGCAGCTGCTTGAAGTTATTTTTATGAGATGTCAGTTTGTATAATCATATAACGCTAGCGCACTACGGTGTAGTTGTTACGGGTGCAATGAATCGAGGTAACGAGAATTGCACTAAGGTGTTCAACGAGTACAAAATGTGAGCGAAGGCATGAGCGAACATTTATACGCGAAACATGCAAAACGGTAACGCGGTGCGTGCGAGCTTGCTAGTGCTACGCTGGAGCGAGGCTCGGGCTAGTCCCGAAGCGTAGGTCGATACGGCCATGCCAGCAGTGCGGGGTTTGGCAAAACAGTGCGCGCGAAGTCGCCGAAGTTCCGTTAGCAGTAACGGGCGAACAATCGGCTGTTGCTGTACGCGATGTAGTCGGCTCCGTAAGGAATGCCGAGAAAATTCCTTACACTACCCCCCCCCTTAAGAAGCCCCCTCCGCTACGCGAGTGCGTGTATATCGCGGAATCCCCGGCTCCTCAGGTACACTTGCAGGGCAGGGTGATTTTCGATGTTGCTCAGGGGCACCCAGCTATCTTCAGTTGGCGTGCGGTCTTTCCAGCGAACGAGGAATTCAATCCTCCTGATTCCCGTGGGGTGGCGGATCCGATGGCTCAGAATTTTTTCGGGCTCGATGATCGGCTCTGATGCAGGGCGAGTCATTGATTGTGGCCGGTGACGCGGCAGTTGACTTGTGGTCGGGATGTATGGGCGAAGTAGGCTGACATGGAACGAAGGGCTGATGTACCAGTCGGTTGGCAACAGTAGGTGCGCGGTGACGGGTGTGATCATGTGACTGATTTGGAATGGTCCACAGTAGCGCGGTCGTAATTTTGGTACGTCGGGCAGTCGCAGATTTTGCGTGTCAAGCAGCACGTAATCTCCAGATTGGTACGTGACAGGACGGCGGTGGCGATCAGCGTTGCGCTTAGCGATGACGTTGGCCTTTTTTATTGCTTCGGCGGCTCTGGCGCGGGCAGCTTGCAGGATTTCGGCGAATTGTTGTGCACGTGGCGTTGGGTTGTCCGGACTCGGCGTCATGGGCACTGTGGGGTTTTGCCCATAGTTCAGGTAGAACGGGGACTGCTGCGTCGTGGCTGATGTGGCGTTGTTGTACGCGAACTCGATCAGCGGCAGCTGCTGCTCCCAGGTCGTGGGGTCGTCACACGTGGCACGAATCAACTGCTCCATCGTCTGATTCGTCCGTTCCGTTTGGCCGTCGGTCTCGGGGTGGTACGACGAACTGAACTGTAGCCTGGTCCCGAACTGCTCCCAGAGGTTCTTCCAGAAGTTGCTGGTGAACTTCGTGTCCCTGTCGCTGATAATTGCTGCTGGTATCCCGTGCAGGCGAACAACGGCTGCGATGAACAGGCGAGCGGTCTCTTCGGCTGAGATCGACTTTTTGCACGCAGCGAAGTGTGCCATCTTCGTCAACCTATCCACGACGACCATCACCGCGTCGTTACCCCCAGGGTTCGAAGGTAACCCTGTGACGAAGTCCATGGTTACTTGCTGCCAGGCGCGTTCGGGCGGTGGGATCGGCTGCAATTGACCCGCCTTCCGCTTCCTTGAACTCTTCATCACCTGACACGTCGGGCACGAGCCCACGTGCTGCTGTACGTCGGTCAACAGCTCCGGCCAGTAATAATACCGCTGCAGTTGCTGTCGCGTTTTTTCTACCCCGAAATGTCCCGAGGTAATCCCGTCGTGTGCCTCCTATAGTAGCAGCTCCCTCAGTAGTGAGTACGCGGGTACCCAAATGCGGTTGGTGCCTGTTTTTACGTAATAAACTCCTTTTGCTTCTGCCAGTTGCTGTGAATTTCCGGTCGTGAAGAATGGGTCGGTGCGGTATCCGTGGGTGAATAGGCCAGTTAAAAGCGGGTTGGTCTGGGCGAGTAGGATGGCGTGTCTCAAAAGAGTAGATTAATCTTAGGCGCCATGGCTAGGTTTTGAGGAAAACGAGAGTAGCGAGGGAGAAGTTGTACCAACAAAAAAGGAGTGATTCAATATTGAGCGAGGGTACAAATAGGAAAGAACAAACAAGAAAGGTGCACCACCAACTAAGAGAATGCTATAACTACAGTAACCAATCCTACAGGCAGTTACATATAGAAAATATTAACTTATATTTTCCGACACGCCCCCATAACTGGCTGTAGGAGAGTATGCAGTTAGCGCACCCTTAAGGGGTACATCACGATTACACAGCGGAAATTGCAGCAACAAACAAGTGCAGTGACAACCATTGCAGTGGTGGCAGATCCAGCTGTAGCACACCCTGGGCCAAGGTAGAAACAGTAGCAGGTGTAGGGGCGGCAGGTCGCCTGAGGAGCAGGCTCTGTGGCTGCAACGTGCAGCAGGACAGCAGCGGCTCGACGGCAGCACCTGCAGGCCCCTAGCAGCAAGCAGCAGAAGCAAAGGCAAAAGAGGCAGGTGGCAGCAGGGGCGGCAGCTGGAGGTGCCACGGTAGCAGTGGGCGTCAGCAGCAGATGCCCGGCTGACTTCCGCCACCCCCTCTCACCCTCCCCCCCACAGCTGCAAGCGCGGCAGTGAGAGAGAGGGGAGGGGGGACGGCTGTTGGTGCTGCAAAATCTCTCTCGCCACCCCCTCACACTCCCCCCCATCCCCCACAGCGACCGGCGCTGCAGGGAGAGAGAGGAGAGAGGAGGGCGTCGGCGGTTTCCTGCGGGTGCGCTCCCGCCACTCCCTCACCCTCCCCCCCACAGCGACAGTCGCGTATGGGGCGATAAAGGGCGACGGCAGGTGCTGCTGGCGGCTCACAGCAGCCACCCCGTCACACCACCTCCCCCACTGCCCGCCACACCTTCGACCTCCCCCCACAGCAGGAGCACGCACTACAGTAGCAAGTGCGACAGCTGCAGCGGGACCCGGGGGAGGGTGGGCGGGGATAGTTGCTCGAGCGCGACGAGCGGGACAGAGGGCCGAAACGGAGGCGAGACGAAGCGGCGACGAGGCAGCGTGGCCGCGTACAACGGGGCGACTAGGCAGCGCGACAAGCAGAGCTCCGCCTTCGCCTCCTCGATCGCGCACGCGATTATGACCGTCGCGGATTTCAACGCAACGGTCATACTGGCAGCACGATCGCAGCAGAAAATCGTTGGGAGGGAGGGCCGCCATGACAGGGTCAAAAATCGGTGGGCCCATTGATCGAAAACTAGCTCGATACCATCTCAAAAGAGTAGATTAATCTTAGGCGCCATGGCTAGGTTTTGAGGAAAACGAGAGTAGCGAGGGAGAAGTTGTACCAACAAAAAAGGAGTGATTCAATATTGAGCGAGGGTACAAATAGGAAAGAACAAACAAGAAAGGTGCACCACCAACTAAGAGAATGCTATAACTACAGTAACCAATCCTACAGGCAGTTACATATAGAAAATATTAACTTATATTTTCCGACAGCGTGGAGTTGGGCGGTGGGGCGGGTGAGAGCGTCGGCGATGTTGGATGCGCCTTTTTTGTACGTAACGGTGTAGTGAAAATTGGACTCGAGATAGTCCAACCAGCGAATCTGTCGTGGGTTGAGATTTGGTTGGGCGCGAAGGTACTGTAGCGAGCGGTGGTCTGTCCGTACTGTCACGTCGGCGCCAGTCAGGTAACATCGCCAAACTTTGAACGCGTGCACGATCGCTAGCATCTCGCGGTCGTGTATCGGGTAGTTACGTTCGGGCGGGTGTAGTTTGCGGGACTCGTACGCGATTGGCTGGAGGCCGTTCCCGAAGTCCTGCAACAGTACTGCTCCCACAGCGATGTCACTTGCGTCGGTGACGAGCTCGAACGGACGGTGGGGATCTGCAATGTGAAGGACGGGCGGGGAGCACAAAATATTTTTGAGGGCCGAGAAGGCAGCTTGCTCTTTCTCCCCCCACGTGTACTCAACCCCCTTCCTCAGCAGGTCGGTCAACGGGGCAGTCAGCTTCGCCATGTCGGGGACGAACCGACGCACGTAGTTGACGAACCCCAGAAAACTCTGCAACTCGGTCAGGTTGGTCGGCGCGTGCCACGCCTGAATCGTCGCAATTTTCTTCGGGTCGATTTCCACTCCCGCAGCTGAAATAACATGTCCCAAAAACTCTAGGCGGTCCTGCAAAAACTCACACTTAGATGCTTTGGTCAGTAGGCGGTTCTCACTTAGGATTTTAAAAACTGCCTCGATGTCGTGTAAGTGCTGTGCTCTGTCAGGGCTGTAAATCAGTATGTCGTCCAGATAAACGATGACGCACTTATCTAAAAGCGAGCGGAATGCTTCGTTCATGGTCATTTGGAAGGTGGCGGGGGCGTTGGTCAATGCGAATGGCATGACGGTGTATTCGAAAGATCCGTAGCGTGTTCTGTCAAGGTGAGAGAGGAATGATGTCGACTAGTTTGGGGCATGGGGTACAAAAGTGACGAGAGAAAAGTTGTACCCCCTAAGAAACACCCCTACAAAACCTAAACCTAAATTATATAAATCATATAATTTGACACACCCCCATAGGTGAAGTAGGGGGATAGCCAAACCTAACAGGGGTCACAAGACCAGTTCACATGCAGGTTTATAACACAGCAAGATATACAGTGATCACATCCTAGCAAAAGTAAACATGCAGGCATATATATATATATAGTGATCACACTACAAGCAGGGTCAAGAAGTAAGCAAGTGAGGTCCAGTAGGCACAAGGCCTAGCAGAGTGCAAAAGCGCTGATGGTCAACAGGCGGAAGCGCCTTGGTGAACACATCAGCAGTGTTGGCCTCAGTGGCCACGTAACGCAGACAAAGCTGACCACGCTGCTGCAGCTCTCGAGCAAGAAAGTACCGCAGAGCAATGTGCTTCGTTCTGTGCTCCAGTCTGTGCTCCTGACACAAGGCAATGGCAGCCTTGTTGTCGACGTACAGCACTGGAG